CCAGGTAGAACCCTCTCATGCAGAGGGCGAGGCCAGGCAGCAGCCAGAACCACAGAGTTCAGCTCACAGCAAAGTCCATGCAGAAAGCACAAACCCAAAGAAATCAACAAATGTACCTTTTCATTTTATTGCTAAAATCCCTACCATAAATTTCACTAGAGAGGAAGTTTCTTTTTCTCCAGCTTCCTACTTAGTGTCCTTGAGAAAACAAATGACACCACACTCAGAAAAAAAAAAAATCCCATAGCGGTTTACTTCGCACTTCCCTGTACCTTGTTATGCTGAGTGCTTCATTTAGAGAAGGCTGACCTCCCCAGCCTTCTTCATCCCAGTGCCCTTCGCCGCAGGGACACACCAAGGAACACGTTTAGCACTGGAGAGAGGAGCCGGGTGGATGTTCCAGCGCAGGCAACCCTGCCGACTCAGCATCCCAAAGGGGCGCGGAGAGTCAGCGTGACAGTGACTGCTGTCTGAGAGGTGATTTTCACAGGAGATAGAGGAGCAGTGCTACAAGCACAGAAGCTGTGAATACAGCCATTAAAAGCGAACAAAGTTATGCCCCTTGTATTTCATGGGTGCAATTTCTTCCATAGGTCTGGGCAGGGGCCCTGGCTTACCTCACAGCAGTTCTACACAGTACAAGCCTTCAAACATTGCGTCTTCCAGCTTTTCTTAGCAGGACACAAAAAACATTACAGAGGGGTTCGGCAGGGTGCAATGAGTTACCGCTCTGAGATGTCCTAAGTGTTATCTGCCTTACCTGAACATCCACAGGGGAACAGGAAAATCTATACATGTATTTTACTGTGTTTTACATAGATTCTCACTGACTCCTGTGAACAAAATGGCACCGGTTTGTTTTGCTATCAGCCATTAGGTGTAACAGAAGGAAGGAAGGAAAGTGGAATGGACTTTGCATTACTTAACAGTCAGCAAAACAGACATGTGCACCACAGGGCTTCATAAGCGGCACCAAAAAGAAGATATGTAGAACATTTCAAGTCACGAAAGCCAAGGACAAAAAGCATTGATTAGGTAGAAAGGATTGTCTTCAAGAACTAAATGTAAAGTTCAGAAACCCAAGGTCTGAATTGGGCTTGAAAGGTTTTGTTTATTAAAGGAATACATGTAAACACCAATACAACATAATAATACATGTTAAAGGAAAAACAAAAAAGTAGGATTTTTTTTGTGCAGTTAACTCCAGACTGTGCTTCCTTTAGCAAAACCATTATCTGAGTCAGTGGTAAGGTTACAAAAACCTGTAGTACGTCAAAGGCGCATTTCTGGCAAGCCCTCTTGCCAAATGCGCCATTCCTTCTAGTTTCCATGATCTAGATTGCCTCACTACTAACATACTTGAAAAAGAAATTTTTTCTGTGTCAATTAACTAAACCAAATGCTTTGCAGTGAGAGTGACTGGTCATCTGGTTTCTGCTAGAAGAGTGTTTTCCTTCTGCTGCTCACAGAAACCAGCTTGTGCTCCTGTGCTATCTTAGCCCGCCTTTACTTGCAACCAGCACACGGGCACAACCTGAACAAGAGAGCATTTTAAAGTAACAAGGAAAATAATTTTTTTACAGTTATCGCCAGGCAAATGCAATGGGACAGAACAACACGGTCAACGACATTATCTGGTGGCTGGGCTCGAGAGCCCCGGGGACGGAGTCAGGTGGCCGAGGGAAGGGAGGCAACGGGCCCCTTGAGCAACGGGCCCTCTCCAAAGTCACAGCCAGGGCAGTGCTGGAAGGAAGCTCTGGATCAGCTTGGTCTCCGCATTAGAGATTTCCGACCCGCTCAGCGCAGGAAGTTGTTCCTGTGGCTCACCTGAGGGAGTTCCTGTTATGAAGCCAGAGGGTGGTGGGTTGAAATACAGTTTCTGAGAGTGATGTAATCTTGGACAGCGCTCCGTAGGCAGTGATACTAGTGACCTGGTTACAACCTGCGGTGTTGTTACAGCCCCTCTCTGCTGGCCTGGTGATCACAAGAAAGGGAAGAAAGAAAAAAAGAGGGGAGTGGAATAGTTTTAAAAGGAAAAAAAAGTTTCCAGATTTCCTTTGTTTAAAGTGAAGCATTTTCCTTTTCCACTTTATTTGAATACACCGACCTGGTGTCTAACAGATGGAGACTGTGCAGATGCACTTTTGGGAGTGCCCATAAAATACACTGCTAAAATACAAACAGAGAGAGACTTTTTTTTTTTTTGGGGGGGGGAGTTGTAAATTCAATAATCATTGCTGTCACCTCGCTTTCCCAAAGGAATTTGCCCTTTGTTCTCCGGATAAAGCTGGGGAGAAGAAAAAGAAAAAAAAAGTGAGAGCAAAGGGAACATTTAGGAAAAAACCCACAGATCCATAATGTGTAGAAGCGTCACAGCATACAACATTTGTACATCAGGAACCCATACAAGCATGGCTGCTTAGCAGCAAGAGCAGCGCACAGCAAAATATTCTGCATGTCTGATATTCTTCTCTCATTCTCCAGACCTTTCCAACAAACAGGTCAGCTAATTGGCTCATGCCCAAGTCTTATCCACCAGGGTTTGCCGAGAGATGTCACTTAGTCATTTGGCATGAGCAAATCCCAGACTTCTTCCTGTTCGAGCAGTGAAGTGGGTGAAGGCTTTCTTTGAATTATTAAGACTACTAACAAACAAACAGGAGAGTTCAGAAGCTTCCTCGAGCAGATGAGCACGAGCAGAAAGGGTTTTTCCTGAAGTAGCAGCTAAAAGTAGGACACTTAGGGGAAGTAAAGTTCATTAAGTGATAAAGTGGTGGCTGCAGTGATGAAAGAAGAGTTTTTCCTTTTTTAATCTATACACTTATTTAGCATTATGTTTTCTTGCTCCTTATTAGAGTGCTAAAGCAGTGTTACCTGGCTGAGGAAAAGAAGATTTCCCTTTCTGTAGTGACTTTAACATGTAGCTCATCAAATACAACAGAGTCAAGAGTTTTAAACAGACATTGCCAGCCAACAAAGTACAACATTTGACAGCATTATTTGCCTTTTATATGCTCTTTCCACAGTGGGAAATGATATGCCATTTTCAAGACACATTCCACAGTATTAAGCAACAGCTTTCTTAATTTTTAATGGATATATTATTTTTAACGTGTCAACTTTTGCATAAAGCATTTTAGTATTTTATTCAGCATATACCATTAATAAATTATTTGCTCCTTCCACCCCCCACCCCCCTAGAGCTGCACTTAGCATAGGGAAATGGTCTATTGACACTGTAAAAGATACTTTGAACTGGCACAGTCTATAGACACTTCCATCATCAGACAAAGCACCAGGAGCACATTCCTGTTTCTACTCAGTCAACAAGCTGGCAGTGCTAAACATGCTGCCCAGCAGTTTCATCAGAAATCACCCTTTGGTGAAAAGACTTACACACACATAGCAACCAGGTGCCGTAAAAATAACCTAGCACCCTGTACAACCAGTGATTCCTATTAAAAGTGTTCACTTTTGGCCTAATTGCTCTGGTATCCTTTAGTCATCACATCCAAATGGTTTGGGACATCCAAAGGAAGCAAGTCAGGGTGCTTCTGTGCCAGAGAAACTTGTCCACTTGACCTGAGTTTGTTCAGAGGGCACGCATCTCTCATCTCAGCAGTTCTGCCCATTCTATAAGGGCAAAAAATGGATGAGATTTGATGTCTTCAACACCAGCAACGCCAGCACCAAGACGCTCCGCAGGATTAAACTGCAAAAGCTCAATATAAAAAGAAAAATATATATGATTCAGTGAGTAAGAACAAAAACAACTGCTTAAAAGTTTCAGAAAGGTCTAAGGTAAGGGACATCCTACTGTTTTCCTGCTCTATGAATTACTTTCAAAAGTGCAAAAGCATACTTGAAATCCCTAAAATCCAGTAAATGGAAGACGACTCTCCTTTCCTTGAGTCTCAGTGTTAGTCTTCAGAGACTACTGATCACAGCATGCAATTCCCTGAAGCACTGCACACTGGGACTTCATTTTAAGAGTAACCTCATTTAAAAAAAAAATAAAAAACACCACACCACAAAACCCACAAAACAGAGAGCAGCAGCCAGAGCGTGCATCAGCAGATCTCTGGACCCTGCGTTTGCTTCATGTTAACCTTTGCTCACACCACTGCCTTACGGAGACAGTGGTCTGTAACTTTGGTTCATAAATTGTGAATAGGTCCTAGAATACCAGGATATTCCAGACAGTTCTCTATTTCCAAAAAAAAAAAAAAAAGAGTCCTACAAATGGACTAAAACTGAAAAATCAAAACCCCACTGAAGGAAACAAAACAGTGCAATGGCTTCATGGAAATTTCCTAAAATTCAGCACCTCCTTTGCTTTTTAGTTGTACATCACATGCTGAATTCATGTGAAAAGGAAATCACAATATTTACATCTGTTTAAAGATACCAATCCATATAAAAGGGAATGCAAAGGTAATACTCCAAAGAGACTAATAAAGACACACAAAAATATTTTCCAGTTTTAGAGAACTGTTTAAACTCTATTCAATTACAGCCAGTACAAAGGCATGATTTCTTTCTTGCTTTTTTCTGCCATGGCTAATAGGATAACTTCTCCCAGTTGTCACTTGGAACAATGTGTATTCATATCTTAATGCACTCCATATCTAAGAGAGTCTACATCCATAAACATAGGAATTTACACATTTTAAGATGGCTTTGCTATTTGCAGTCATAATGTCACATAGTAAAGGTAGCTTGGTGACAGTGAACAGTGCTGGTCTGACATCTTCCACAAGCCGGCAGAAACAGATACAGCCAGGGTTTCTCTGCCTTCTCCTGAAATACAACCAGCACCAGCAGGGGAAAAGTAGGCACAGACACCTATTTTCTGGAGTTTGTCCTTCCAGAAGAACTTTAATCTTAGAAAGCAGATGCAACACAAACTGCAGTAGACACCTATTGAAAAGTCATGTTGCATATTTTGTTGGCAGTAAAGCCTGGAGGTGCCTGAAAAAATATACTGGGTGCAAAGTACCAAACCAACACAAAAATAACAACTTCATCTTTCACCAAAAATAAGTAGATCTCTGTTCTTTTAGAAGCTGGCTAAATGAAGGAGGTGTTTACAACAAAGTCACCTGCACTGGAAGCCACAGCAGGAGACAAGGTCTGACAGAGTTCTCTGTATAGCTGAACATTGATCCCAGACAGTTATTCTGTGGTGCTTTGACCTGTTTACCCTTGGCAGTGGGGGGAAGGAAAGTCGCAATGACAAATTGCTATCCATGCCAAGAGAGCTTTCTTCCTTTTCCTGACAAGGCTTCCTCAACAATGAATGGCAGCTTCCTTGGATAGTCACACAACAAAAATGTGATTTACTACTTCATATAGATGAACCTCCACCAGATAAGTCACCACCCTACACTAGAAGGCTTAACCTAACAGGCACTGGAGTGACTGTTCTCTGAACAGATACGGCCTTGTAATATATCTGCGAGTGGCAGAGATATATTTGCCATTTAAACTGCAAGTGGCAAAAGCGCCACTCTTTGGCATATTTGAAAACAGGCAATACATTACTCTGCAGTGGAGAACAATCCCACACTGGACTGGATGACTTCATTTGTCTTCACTTCTAGTCTTAATGGGAGGAATTCCTTTCACCAAGTGGGGTTTTGCTTTCCCTTAGCCATTTGAGTCCTGTAGCACCTGTGGGTGAGGGTAACAATCTGCTACCCTCTAAAAACAATATAAATGCCAATTATACAAAAATGGGCTTTTTCTTTAGTCACTCCCCTTTCTACCTTTGCCAGAAACACACAGGCACACGCTTTCACCTTCAGAGACTTCATGTCATCTATCAAAATAGCAGGTCCAAACACCTCGTTCCATTTCCATTAATCATTTCACAGTAATGGCACAGAAATCAGTCTGTCACCGGGTCTTTTGACTCACTGAATTTTCAAAATCTCTTTTCTTCGTTTTCTTCAATAACTATTTTTTCCACTCTGCTTTGTTCAAATCTACATCTAAGTGATGTCATTATTTATGCATCCACTAGCAAGATACTCTTCAAAGCAGAACAACGCAGTTCACATATATCACTAATTCTGCTCAAGTGGAATAGGTCAGATTCAGGCATCACTTCCCCAGTTATGTCAAAATTAACTAGAAGGAAGATAGCATTACCTGAAATTCAAGACCCTGTACTACAAGTTTATTCTCTCAGTCATCCAACCTAAAGCTAAGAGTAAACTAAAACCAGCAGTCAATACTATTCCCATTGGTTTGAAAATGGTGTATCAGTCTGAAAGATTGTCTATATTTTAGGGTTTCCTACTCTGCCTTTTGTCCGACTTACCAGTTATCTTCTTATTACAGAAGTCCTGTATTCACAATTTAGAGTACTCTTCTTAACAAATGGCATCCAGATTTCCTGGAGAACAGCTACAGATTTTCAACCACAGCAAAGTCATAACTTCTAATCAGTGTGTTACAGGTTTCATAATACTTAGAGCGATCTTGTTGAATTGGCATCAATATTTTTTAGTTTACTTCAATTGTTTAATTCAACATTACAAATGTTTCCATGAACATTTAGGGCAGGATTCCTAAAATATTCATGCATCACCAATAGGTGTTTCCAAAGCATTCAGCATTGACCAAAGGGGTTCTTTGAAGAAATGGCAAAGCACCCTAGTTTTCTGCAGAGACACTTAGCAGCACAAGTCAAAGTTTCCAGATACAACAAGACAGCTGGGCAAAGTTCATCAGTGCTGACAAAAGACCCATCCACTTTCCTATCAGCAGCTTTCTGGTTTTACATTTACTTCACTAGAACAACTTAGGTTGGTAAGTATTTGTCTAGTCTACACGCGTACCTATAGAAAACAAATTTTCCCCTCAATTACCTGCTGAATCAGTGATCTGGCCTCCTTTGATACATGGTCTGGTATACTCAAAGAAGTGTGAGTGTTTATTCCTGATGGATGGCACTCAACCAGAGTCTAGAGAAGAGAAAAAAAAAAAAAAAAAAACAAAAAAAACCAAAAAACCAAAATCAAAGCAGGCAGATACATTTACTAATTAAAAAACTGTAGTGTTGGATTATCTCCTAGTATACATGCAAATTAACATGCATAGCTAAAATTTCAGCACTTCCTAGTATGAAGTACTGATCCTGGGAGGAATGTCTACAGGCACTGATGTCTCCCAGAGATATGGTTTTAGAACATTTACAACTTAGTTCTTGTGCTCTACTGCTCAAACTTGAAAAGTCTGGGAATTTGGTGGACTTTGCTTTCTTTGTTCAGAACTGTCAACTAATTACCAGTTTGATTTGGCTGAGCACTCTTTGTCTCAAAATACCAAATTAATGTGTAACAGCAACATATGGCTTCTACACTGTCCCAGGAAATAATACTGAAACTATTAGGGCAAAAATTTTGTAAGTGTACAGAAGGAATGTTAGAGAACTTTGATTTCACTGTGGTTAAGAGGGCAGCATGGGTTTTGGTTCTTTTTTCAGTCCTGAGTTTGATACAGCTTTATCAAGTTGTTCTGCTGAAGCTTGAGCATATTTCTTTTCTCTGGTCCCATGCAGACCAAGCAAATTGAGCGCACTCAGGTCGGGAAAGCACATCTGAGAGGGACAAACAAGGAAATCACAACTGGGCACAGGACTTGTGAGAAAGTACTGGCCAAGAGGTCAGTCTTCTCAAGTAACTTGCCCCCAGCCCTACCTTCCCGGTGAGGAGCTCAAAAAGAATGGCACCCAGACTCCACCAGTCGCAGGCTTCTGTCTCTTCTAGGATAGCGCCAACCTCTAAACACAAGACATTTCAATTAATATTAAAAAGGTCAGTTACACCTTCAAAATTAACATATATTTACAAGGTGACTGTTTAATGCTGACAGAACATATACTAAATACCACAGAGCTTTCATTATGCCTGCAATTTAGTTAGCCCTTTAGCCACCTACAGATTGCATTGTTCACACACAGTGACGCTATACATTTCATGCATAATTTGACTTTTCTGTGCATACATAGGCATTTTCAAGGCTTGTAGGCATTACGGTCAGGCTTTTTCTATACTGGACTAAGACTGGACAGCGACAGACAGTAAAGCAAAACATGTTTACAGAATTTACCCTGGTCAGAAGAGCTGGATTGACCAGAGTGGCTTGAAGCATCCATAAAAGCAGCACAAGGGAGATTATAATAGTCTACTGAATGCCTTAGTTTTGCCTTAGAGGGCAGGATGCGTCTCATGGCTAACCTACACCCTTTGCTGGGATCACCATGGCAGGTTTTTCACAATAGCCTCTCTGGTCTGTTGGGAACCAGATGGAGATGCCAAATCTACTTCACATAGCCTAACCACAGCCAGCAGCTCTGTATTGCTACAGTTCAGCCCAAATTGTACCTGAGTACAAAAAGCATCGAGCCAGCACCCAACACTCTCATTGCTGTTCATGCACAAGAGACAGCAGAGAGGTGAGCTGGGAGTTACAGAGTCCCGTTTCATACACATTCACGTATTCAATAGCATGATGCATGCAGAAAACTGGCCCTTCACTGACTCAGGCTTTAAACTACAAAAATTATTAAACACAAACACACCACGCTGTCTGCTCTAAAACAGGCAGAAAAACAGATTGCAATGAAGATGAAATCTTCATTTTGACTGTCAAAAAAACCCGCAGAAGCTGCACTAAAATAGCTTTGGTGGCAAAAGCCACACCAGCTTCCCAGCAGAGGACAACAATTAGCATACAGTCACACAGTCGCTGCTGGGAAAAGCATTGTGGCGTGTTCAAAAAAATCTTGCTCATCATTTTATGGAGCTTAGCATGAGCATGGCCAAGGAGAACTACAGAGGAGTCACACTCCAGGGTCAGGGAAAGGAAGGTGGTCGCCGCAGACCTCCCCAGCTGCAGAGACGCACAGAGAGGCTGAGCAGGGGGCTGTGCAGAGGGCTGCCCCCCAAGCAGCTGCTACAGAAGCTGGAAGACGCTCAGCGCCTTATAGGACTAGGCTGCTCTTGCAAGAGCAACAAGGAAGGATGGCTCAGACATTGTTTCTTGAGGTAGGACATCCCTCACACTGAAAAGTTTATTACAGTTAATGGTGTTTGAATGCCCAATACATCACTGTAAGGGTGCCACACATTAGAATTTATTCTGTTCCTTAGATTAATACTTCTATCGGCATCGAGAAACTTTTACAAAGATATAATGGCAGCCACATGAGGAACTGTACCAGCATAATTACATGCATTGTTAAAATGTTTTAAGATCCCAGGCAAGCATCCAGATGAAGTTGAAATTATGGTAAATTGAGAGAATTTGTGTAAGGACCAAAATCTGTTCTTGCAATTTAATTTTACTTCCCTTCAGAAAGGCAGACCTTCTAGGTAACTGTCCTTTAAAAAAGAAAAACAAAAACCACCAAACTCAGGCCTTTCCATGTGAACCAGCTGGCAAAGGTTTGCGTAGCATCTCTTGATGAAACCTACTGAATGGAAATGCCTTTCCAGTCTGATTGTGATTTCCTAGTGCTGTATGTTCCAATCATGTACATTCAAAAATAAGATAACATGAATGGAAAGTAAAATCTAAAACCAAATACTTTAGGTTTCTTTAAAGCAGAGTTTTCTTTCCTGTGTGGCTTTAATCCGGTGGATATTGTAGACCAAGAGAGCTTCCTTCTAAACAAGTGAAGATTTTTATTTTCAAATTAAATTCCACACTTATTGCAGAGTAAGGACAGTAAAGCCAAGAGTTAAGATTGACTACTACTTTCTCAGTTCCTACACTACTATTAACTTCTTCATATTGACACATCTTAAATTTTCAAATAATGCCACAAAAGGAAATAATCTATTCTTCCCCAAAGACATTCAGTGGGGATAGGCCTCTTGAGTTACAGCCCAATATAAAAAAAAAATATTCAAAAAGCAAAAAAAACATCATTCTGAGCATGGGGAAAAGAAATACTACAAAAAATTCATTTCTGAGTTTTGGTATTATTTCCTTTTATGTTGGCAATCACAGACGTTGATCCAGTTCTTTGAAGCATCAAAGTTACGCTGCCTTCTTCCACAGAATCACACTGTTCATTATAGGAAGTTGATGCAACCTCACTTACTTCACTGATGAAGAAAACGGACACAGAGTAACAGTCAAAAAGTAAACTAGAGTCCACTTCTTCAAAATCCAAGCTCCTATTTTCAATTCTAAGAACACTTTCAATATATGCCAAGTCAAAACAAATGTCATTGCAGATCTCTTAAGAGAGCAGCACTGAACTTTTCCATCCACTTTTGACCGTGACCAAAATGACACAAGTGGGATAAATTGAGAACAGTCAAGTAACACAGATTGCTCCCTGGGCTAAAGGGTTCTGGCTGGGTTCTCCTGCACACAGCAGAAACTGCACGACAAGCCATGCGAACCAACACCGAACAGAAAATGGAAATCTCGCTGAGGGGAACAACTGAGTATCCTTTTTTACAAAAAACTAAGTTTTAGCTCAACTTTTCTCCTATTACCCAATCTCTGCTTTCCTACAGCTTTCCCTAGATCCCAAAGTTTCCTTACTTCAGATTAAAATAAATGTTTTCCTTAAAAAAAAAATAAATTCATTGTGAATACTACAAATAAACGTGTTGTTTACATTCCCTTACTTCAAACAGGTCACATTACTTCTGATGCAATACACTGATCATAATAAGTTCAGGATATCACATCAATATTACTGCATTTTATCTTGACTACACATCATGGGAAAATTTAGAAACTATAGATTATGAAGTGCTTTCAAGTGATACAGAGTAGATAGCTAATGTAATATACCACATAGGACATACGCTTGTTTTTTAAAGCTTTAATATTGCAATAAATCTGAACTACAATATCTGCCTTCACTAAGAAAACATTTTAATCTCAATCCATCAGCAAAGTAATTTAGACAATGAATGGTAGCGACCCATAAGCTTAAGTGAATAACATGGGGATATTTGTGCCAATTCTTTACTTCACGAACCTTGAAATCAAGGACCTTATCCACATTTGTACAAATATAAACGTGCACATGTGTGTGCACGGTGTTGGTGTTTCTAGGACTAGCAGTACAAAATATTCATATTCTCAAATACAAAATCCTTTTAAATTGGCAAAGTAAAAAAGTAGGGTGGAAAAAAAATAAATAAATCAGTAGCTCTTCCAACTTTACTGCAACTTCATTGCAAGGGAGAGCTTTCGTCTTTCTCCCTTCCCCAGGCATGCCCATACACCATCTAGCACCAAGTAGCACATGTCAACAGCAGCCGTTGCGGTAACTGAAGGGAAGGAGATTTGTAAAATGCTATCAGGTTCAGATAGAGACAGATGGTTCAGGTAAACACCTTCAGTACCCAGCACTGTCCTCCTTCCAGAGCAGCTGGTCTCAACTGAAAGGCCACTTCTTTATGGTTTCCATACTTATCTCAATATTTGCATTATACACAGTAATACCTTACTTCCTGATAAAGGATACATAGCTGACAACGCCCTGTATTTTTAAACAGAAGTGCTGGTTCTAAAGTAAAAAAGCAGAACTTCACCTCTCTTGAATACACATCCTTGATGAAGTTATTAACCGTAACACCAAGGCTGATTTTCTCATTCTTTCTACAGCACCTTAACCTGAAATATAACCCTTCATGCTGAAGGATATCAAAGGCTTTCACTACCACACCTCAAACATTTTCTCCCAAATACAGTTTCCTCCAGGGCTGACAATAAAGCCTCCCGACTAGCACGCACAAGCATTAGTCAACATAAAAGAAGCCAGGCTTAAAGGTGGACTTAGACATTCACTGTACAACTCAGGCCAGATGGTTTGAGAATCAGCAAGAACAAAAACTCAATCAAAAACTTTGTAGGATAAATTGTAATATCCAAAAAAAAATGCAACTGAAGTCAGCTCACAAGAAAATAGGCTCTAGGTGGAAGTACTGCTTCTCCAAACACCCAAGAGTCAGGAAGGGCTTTGCATTAGGTGGTTTTCCTGGAATTAAGAAGGAAACCATTTGACTGTCGGTGGATTGATAAGAATTTCAAATCCTGTGGAGGCCTTTTCCTTTACCTCGTGTTTCAAGCAGAAACAGCATAGCTTCAAGTATCATTTCTGCACTGCCAAGAAAACAAGGAGACCCATCTGAACTCCCATCAGGTGTCTGAAACCGTTCAGGAGGAAATGGACTTGTCCAACATCCAGAAAACATCACACACGATGTTTTCCCCTTCTGTGGCCATTAAGATAAACAGTATTGCACAAAAAAAAACCATTAGAGTTGCTTTGGAAATTCTATTTACCTTACACTCATTTAATTTTAAAAGCTTACTATTTTATCATATTTTAATATCTACATACGTAAAGAAGCATTTGCAGAGAACCAAATAAAATGAGTCCAAGCTAATTTACTCTAGGCAGATTCAGTCAGCCAAGATATCATATGGTACACTCACTAAACACATCACACAAGCAATCTGGCATTAGTTAGCAATTTATAAAATACAGTATTGAACGATCTATAGTTAAGTATAAAAAGTTTATCATGGTCTTTAAACAATAAAGTAGTGAGGCAAGTCCAATGAACATCTACTAAGATCAAATGGAGTATGAAAATAAGAAGTTTCATCTTAAAGGTATTCAAAAACATATCAGCATCTATGTTCCTCTTTGGAAGAAATTTCACTGTGTCACTAAAAGAAAAAAAAAAAAAGAAAAAAGAGGGAACTGTGTTCTTTCTTCCTTTTAGCAGCCCAAGATGGAAT